ATGTAATTTCCACTAACTTGTTTAGGGATAAAGAAATCCCTAACAGCCAAACTACAGATTCTATACAATTTTCGAAACCCATCTTCGAAATTGAAACTAAACGACTCCGCACCGCCATCTACTCCAACTAACTGCAAACTACTGCCATCCCAGAAGTACCTAGAAACTATACCTGACCTCCGAATCACCACCGGAAGACGACCCGGCTTAGCGGGTCCTGGTTCTTTGCCAAGGCTTTCTTCTGGTTCATATCCAATTGAAGTTCTCAATGAATTGGTAAAGGTTGGGGCTTTGAAGCAGGTTTTGAGCTTCTTGGGGAATGGTCTCTGAGCTGTGAATTGGGTTTCATGGATTTTCCTTGGAAGTGGAAACTGGTGGGAGTTGGAGGCTGTGTAGAAAGCAGATTGCATGAGAAATGTACTTGGGAAAATAGGGTTTGTAATTAAATGGGTCTAATTTTCGCGCCAAGTACTGGGGACTTTTTAGTAGTGAGGGTTTAAGGGTTTTGGAGCTTAAACAGAACCAGTTAATACTGACTGAGCTAACTTACCGTGAGAAACAGACGAAAGAGAAGTTCCTCAATCCCTTGTGTTTTTTTTTTATATATTTTTTTTTTATAAAAGAGGAAGCAGAATTTTCTAAAACATAAATGAGAGATAAGATTCGCCCAACCTCACAAAAGGCAGTCACGCCCAAGACTCACTTATTTTTCTTCTAAAAAATCTTTTATTTTCAGTTTTATTAAGGGAATATTTTTTAAGAAGTTATGGAAAAAATTTAGGAGATGAATACAATAAACATAGCTTGCATTTGGGGCGAAAGGTTTAACGAGGGTTGTTTTAAGTTGATCTCATCAAAATAGTCATTTTAATGCTCGTAATGGGGAGCTTCAAAATTTCATATAAGCGATATTTAGACGACATACTTTTGGCAAAAAAAGAAAGAAAGAAAGATAATAGATGACATGCTGAGGTAAATGTTCTCAACTACTTGCTGCTTGCATACTCTAAAAAACCATTGGCTAAGGGAACTAGTTAAGCAACCCAACCTAGGCATTACCGGCCACATCCAAGTCCATAACTGATGAGTCTTCACAAAACTCACACCATCTCCATTTCCTTCAAACTTGGAGGCTAGATAGACCAAAGTGAAATCCTTGGAGTCTCAAAATACATAAGAAATGAAAGTTTATTTTTCCTTTCTTAAATGTACAGAAATAAGCCAAAACCTGGAAGCCTATGGCTCAAAAGCATCTGGCGTCGCATGCAAAACTGCCCATCATACTGAAAAACGAACTCAACTGTTGCATCTGAAAATAGAAACTTTCATCACAGCATCATTTCTGTCAATCAGCTCAAACACACAAACATCTCCCACTTTCAAAGCACGATCCCTTACAAACTGGTACCACCCTGCAGAGAGCCTGCTAGAGTTGCGTTTAGAAATACACTTCACAAGCCACCTCCTCTTTGAGTCTTGAAGCCTGACATACTTTTTTTTTCCAATACAACTATTATGAAAGCTCTTTGGTATAACCTGCAAAAGTTAGATTAAAAAGTATTATTGCATATATACTATCAATATATGCACCAATTGAAGCCTGACCAAAATAAAAGAAAGCTAGCCCAACAAATGAATATAATTATGAGAGAAAAGAAATCCTAACTGAACAAGAGCACAATAAATTTCACAATTCTTCAGTAGCAAAATTCGAACAGCACTAATGCTTCTCCAAATCATCATGCTATGGTTGCAAGAAAAATGCAGATATGATCGATGACGTGAGCAATATGATTTCCAATCATGATTCATGACAGTCTAGATGAAATCACTACTTTCAAGTTTTTTTGTTTCTCTTTTCTTCTTTTGTAAAACTAAGTCAAAATAAAGAGGTAGCGAACTATTGTATACTTATATGCATCAGAATGACGGGTCCAATGTTCATACCAGTCTTCCCTTGTTCACATATGCTTTATGCATAATAGCTCTGAAGAAAGGATGCTTAGAAGAGAATTTTTTGGCTGCTTCAAGAGCTTCACTCGGATTTTCCATTTGAGCCCTTGAATAAAAATGCTCTGTAGAACCCAACTCTCCTGCATGAATTAACTGAAAAAATGAGCATGTGCAGTTTTCCAAAGGGTTTTAAAACTTATCCATTCAGAAACTTACTAGGCAACCCAATTTCGGAATCCTCGTTAAGTTGATCCTCTTGAGTATCAGGCTCATCAATATCCATCGATGTATCAGATTCAACATCAATTACTTCATTTTTTATGGCACAAATGGCTTGACTAGTTGTAGTTCCATCAGCTGAGCCAAAGCCCTGGCCATCTACATTCTGCGTTCCATGAATTGCATTATCATGTCCCTCCTCAAGGGATCTGTCATTTTTGCTAACTGCCATTACAAACTCCTTTTTGCACCCATTTCTTCCATATACGTCAACATCAAATTTCGAATGTCCAGCATATCGAAAAATTAGAAATTCACAAAGCTTTAAACCATGGTCGTGCACAAATTCCTTCCAACCCTTTTGGAAAAAGAAACCATCATTAACCTTTTCCACATTTACATTCCAAGTTCCAGCTGGGGTCCGAAGAAGAGACCTCCGAGGTACCTCTCCAGCAAAATGCACGTAAAAAGCCGGAGGGATTTTCTGTAACAAAGGTGATTAGGATGCAAATGGAAATTTATATCAGACCTAACATTTGGTAAATTACCTTGGTTCATAATCACTGTGAAAATAGCAAAAAGAAAAAATATCTACAAAAAGAGCTACTGTAGAAAACAGGAATTCATATGAAGACTAATGGGATAAAATAAAATGATATCATAAATTAGATTCTAGTAGTACCACAAACACACTCAGACAGAAAATAAAGCAAGAAACTTCAGTATTCTAAAGTTTTGAATCAAGAAAATTTCAAAACCCTCTCTATCCATAATAACAAAGTAAGGTCATTTTTATTTTTCTGTGTTAAGAATTAAGAACATGGGGTTTTTCCTTTTCATGTGAAGCTATACTTACCAACTGGTTGGAGAAGTCATGTACAAGAGCCTTGAAAAAGGAGGGTTTTCTTCTTCTTCTAGCCATCACGATTTTCTCTAACTCCTTTTATGATCTCATGTATTTCCTTTTTCTTCTCTTCTCCTGTCGTCTTGTGAATGGAGGAACGGTCTTTCCCTCTAGTCAGAAAGTAGAAGCGCGTCGCCATGGGGATATTGTGTATACCACAGAGTAACTTTATGTCGGCTATTAGCCGATCAAGGCCCAATTCTATAATGAATTAATTACTCTGTTGCCAAATCAAAAAAGAAAATAAAAAAGGAAGGTTAATTTCATGGTCGAATTCTCTTGGGAAAAATCTCCTCCTCAGCTTGTCTGAAAAGGAAAACATGCCTAGAAAGCAAAGGAAACAACTCTACTTAATTCAATTCTTCTAATCTTTTATTATTCCTTGTTACACTATATTAAGTTCAAGTTTTATTTCATATTTTGCTATCATGAAAATATGAGATAAGGTTGGTTTCTGAGAAACTGGCAGTAGAGGTGGGCATCAATCTGGCCAAAATCGATGAAAATAGGCGAATTAAACTGTAATTATCAATTTGGTTTGGTTTTGATCCAGCAAAAGTCAAATAGTTTAAAAATCGAATCGGATAGTATATGGTTTGGTTTTGAGTTTTGAGTTTTTATGAACCGATCTAAACCAAACCGGAATGTTTATATGTATATTTATTTATTTATATTATATTTTACATGTGTAATACTTTAATTAGGTAATAACTATATATGAATATTTGAATTGAGCTATATTAGTTATTGAAATTTGAAGTTTCATGGCATATTGAGCTTTAAGATGGTTTCGTACTCTAGAAAATGATTTACGTATGAAACAAGTTGTGAATTTGTTAATTGTAATTGGGCTAACAATGTTGATAAAAATGCAAAAAGAAATAGAGGTCCAAATTGGCCAAATCAAACCGTCTTCAATTAGTTTGGTTTCCTTCATAACTTTTGTCAAAATCGAACCAAACTAAACCGTTATATTGTAATTGGTGTGGGCATGATTTTGAGGAGTAACCAATCCAATTCGGACCGTGCCCACCCCTAACTGGCATACAATCCAATCCAAATCTGACTTGAAAGTTTGGATATTGGTTTTGTATAATGGTTGCAAACCCAACTAATTTGATTTGATTTTCATTAGCAAAAACAGTAAATTGCACCAAATAAGTTAAAATTTGCTAAAATGTTTCCACCAAAATCATTGATAGGAAAACTGACCTTGTTGGGAATAGGAAATTGAACCTCCTCTCCTTTTCATTAGGCCTTCTTTAAACCACCAAAGAAAGACAAAATTGCATTGACATCTCTTTTATCCCGAGCAAAAAGTTACTCAAACAAATAATGTGCCTGTCCCTTAGAAAAATAAAAAACAAAGAATTTGCCTTTGCAAATGCAAACCAACCACCACTAATCAGAAAACTTCACAGGCCTGGTATATCTCTGACCTAAAGAGAGGCAATTTGTTCCTCCTATTTATACACTTTGAACACTTTGAAAAAAGTTTAGAGATCTCGCAGATTGATGCCTATATTCAAATGAATTGTTTAAGAAGACGTTGAAAATCAAAATTAAAGGAAGAGTTATACTGTGTCACTACACCCCATGAAATCCATAACATAATGTTCTTTCAGAAGACCCAGTTGAAATGTGATAAAAACAACAGAGGACAGCAACTTGTACTGCTTAATTATGTTCGTACTTCTTTAAATTTGGAGGCGTCCACTGCCTTCTGTCGGAGAAGAAGCACATCATGAGAGCTTCATCTATGAATGAGGCTTCTCTTTTAATCACCTGACTTCAATTGATCCTCCGGCCTGATTTGCCTATCCTAAAACAAAAAAGAAAGAACAAAATATGTCAAGTTATGCAGAGGGCAGACCAAAAAGGAGTAGAAATGCACAAAATAACAGGTTACTTGCCTGGTGACGAGGTGCAACTTGAAGCTTCTGTCTTGCGGTAAAAGACAGCTTCAAATAAAAACTCAATCTTGTTAATCAAGACAAAGACACACATGTCACCAACTTCTAATTTATTATCTCGGCAAAATGTCATGAAACCACCACCGAAGTTTGGCTCTTTCACCTTCAATTGCCAACTTGACAGGCCAAGTTTTCCCATCCGAAACCCGAAGAGTAACGGTAGCTCGCTGCTCGGTGAGATGTGTCCTGCCAAAATTACGTGGCAAATACTGAAAGAAGAAGAAGGAAAACAAGAAATACAATAATAAAGTATATGGAGAGAATATCTATGATTTAATTTGCTCTGTAAATGTATCATTGCTTAATTATTGCACACAAACATTTATAAACAGAAGTGAACATAAGTTGAGATGGCTCTGCAGGGTTGTCTATAGAAAGCTTACCATATAACCTCTACGGATGTACGAGTTCTGTATTGCACTCTTGAAAAATGGTTTTTCAGAGTTGAAGCTATTGTTTCGCGGAAGAGCAATAGTTTTTCCAGTACTTGTAGCCAATGGATGCATTGATGTTTCAGATTCAGTATCGGTTGCTTCATATTTGATGGGATCAATTGAAGGCAAATTCTGTTTTCCATGATGTCTTGGGCTCCTTCTGTGAATTACATTACCATGTCCCTCTTCATGATGTCTGCGGCCCCTTTCCCTAATGGCTGTTACAAACTTTTTTTTGCAGCCATCTCTTCCATAAATGTCAACATAGAATCCCAAATTTCCAGCGTAACCAAAGACTAGAAACTCACAAAGCTTTAAAACACGGTCATGGACAAATTTCTTCCAACCCTTTTGGAAAAAGAACTTGTCATCAGCCTTCTTCACATTAACAGGAGGTCCGAAGGTGGGACTTCTGAGGTACTTTTCCACCATCAAAATGCACGAGAAATGCTGGTGGGATTTGCTGCGACAAAAGTGAGTAGGATTATGTAGATAGAAACGAACTTTGTGAGAAAATCCCAAATATATAATCTTGAGCCAATCATCAAACATATCAACAACGTTTATTCACAAACATTGAAATTTTTGGGGCTTTAGGTTAAATGGTCCCTGAACTTTGACTTGATTCGCATTTTGGCCCTCAATTTCCAAAATCGTTCTCGTGGTACTTTTAACTTTAGTTTCGTTAGGACAAAAGGTCATGTCATTAGTTTTGTTAACTTTTTCTGTTAAATGCAGGGGTAAAATGGTATTTTTGTATTATTTTTAATTTCCACCATATGAATATTCCAACAAAGCCATGGACAACCTCCACCCAACACCAAGCCAATTAACCCACCATCTCGGCAACAACTGATGGCGCTCCTACAACCTACAACCCCCCCACCCCCACCCAAACCATACCCACCCTACTTGCGATGGTGAGGATAGGAAGAAGGTTTTTAAGTTTTTATTTTTATTTTTTTTGGGTGAAATGAATATTCAATAGTGGAAATTAAGAATAATACAAAAACACCATTTTTCCCCTGCATTTAATAGAAAAGATAACAAAATTGACGGTAGGACCATTTGTCCTAACGAAAGTGAAATTGAATGACCACGAGAACGATTTTTTCATAAGAAAGGGTGTCACTTATGATAAACAACTCAAAACCTTAACCATTTTACAGATTCTACAGATTTTTTCATTGGTAATTAAGGGACTTAAAAGGATGAAGACCCCATTGCATTGCATAACCTAATTTGACTCCAAAAGACAAAATATTATGAACACAAAATATAGATAACAAACAAACAAAATACGAACTCAGTTTAGAACTCAATGGGGTAAGTAACTACATCAAAAAGGGAAAAAAACAAGCAAGATATCATTGATTTTCAACGATAAGATATTGGTGGTCCATACTCCATACTTCATAGAACAGCCAAAACTGATATCATTGATTTACAAAGTACTATTGTACGACCTTTTCCAACAACAAAAAAGTACTATTGTTCGACACCCAGTAAAGCATGCAGCTTTAGTATTCTATCTAAACTGTTGATTCAATTGACCCAAAAACAAAAACAAAAACAAAAAACTGTTGGATTCAAAGCTTAGGTTTGGATCATCAAAACTACAAAACCCACTGTGATATAACAAGCTTAGGTTTCTCATTTCCAGTAATTGAAAGGATTTTTCTTTTTGAGGGAAGTGTAGAGTAGACAGAGAGTACATAATAGGAGGTGGACTTACCAGCTGGTTAGAGAAGTTGCCTACAAGAGCCTTGAAAAATGAGGGTTTTCTTCTTACTGCACTTGATTTTCTTGCCATCCCGATCTTCCGTCCCCTATGTATTATCTTCTTCTTTTGCTTTTTGCTGGAGAAGCGTCCAAAATGTTCACTTTTTCCAAGTTATGTTTTGGTTTTTAAAAACAATATTTGTTGATCACATTTGCTGACCAACTCTCCTCACCTCACCAGTACCTATATTTTACTCCTTTGTTAGCTTATTTTATACTTTATATTTTGGGAAACATTCATCTTTTTATTAAGTAATGAAAAAAGAAAAAACTCTGGTCTTTTTCTCGTTTACCTAAATTATTTACAATTCATGTGATGCGAGAAGTATGTTAGGAATTATGGATTATATACCATTTGTCTATGGGAAAAGTGGATGTTCATAAAGGGGTAGCGCTCTCCAAGTTGCACCCAGACACTTCGAGATGAAAACCTCACACTTGGATGGATCCATGGGACCTTGATTAGGGAAGAGTCAAGAGGAAGTGGGCCGGCAACAAACTAGACACATAATTGAAATACAAATTGTACAATGACTATAGAATACAGAGATGGATTAGATATTGACTTAAAAAAGTACAGAGATCTTCTACATTGATGCTTTTTCAAAGTAAATCTTCAAGATGAAGTTGAAATTTCAAAAACAAAAGAGATTCTTAGATCTGTGCCTTTCTAAGGTGATCAAAAACAACAATGGAGGACAAATATATAAGCAAGTTGGTATCTGCAGGCCTCCTCTGCCTTCTATTTTCAGATTCAACATGGTAGTATTCTTGGTGAAATATTCAGCTTCCTCAATTACTTCATCCATCAGGCTACTCTTTCAATTTTTCTTATTTGGCGCGAAAAAGGGCAGCATTAAATAAAGGTTTGATGTTGTTAATCAACTCAAACACACAAACATCATCAACTTCCAAATGATTTTCTCGCACAAATCTCATCCATCTCTGGAGTCTGAATGCCGTGCCATATTTGCATAAGTTGACATGCCAAGTTCTTTCATCCGAAACACGAAGGACGGCCTTATCATGAGCCTGGTTAAGATGTTCCTTGACAAACTTGGCTGGCAAAGCCTGAAAAGAAAAAAAGGAAAGCAGGAAAACCAACAATCAAATTTTGTGAGATTATATTTATGATGTCATTTGCTCTGCAAAAGGAAGTATATTTTCTAGCTTAGTTGTTTTCAGAATGACATATACAGATAGAATTTAGCAGAAGTTGTATGTGACATAGAAAGCTTGCCAAATAACATCCACATATATTTGTGGGATGGATAGCAGCCATGAAAGAAGGGTATTTACATTTGTAAGCATTAGCTCTCAGAAGAGCTCTATCTTTTCTACTTGCTGCAACTGGATGCATCATTCTTGGAACCTCAGGTCTTCGAATTACTAATTTTCGAGTCTTAGATGAGCCACAAAAATGTTCGATATTTTTTGCTTTACTAGTTGAACATGTTCTGTTTTTCTTGTGAGGCTGTGGTGCTATTGGAGATATCTTCCTTGTTTTTTAGCATGGTGGAAATTCATCCAAGCTATCTACAGAATCATCATCCTCCTCAGTTTCTTCCCCATCAACATCTGCCGCACGTTGCAATAGATGAGGGATAGATAGTTAATCTTTATGGCACTTCCATCAAAATTAATTCAAAATTTAAAAGACAATGTACCTGGTAACAAGGTGCAATTTGCAGCTTGTACGGCGCGGAAAATGACAACTTCAAACACAAGTCTAGTGTCATCAATCAACACAAATACACATACATCATTAACATTCAAATTATTGCCTCGAACAAATTCATGCCAACCAGACTGGAACTTGGCTCTTGGTTTTGCTATAAATTCAACAACCCAAGCTCTCCCACCCAAATCCCACAGGATAACGTTGGCAGAATTCTTACTAAGATGTCCCATAAGGATGGAAAAATCGGATGTCAACCACTGAAAATGGTTAAAAGGAAAACAAGAGAATGACATTAGGAAAATTTTGAAGAGAGAATATTTACGATTTTGCTTTGTGAAAGTACGTATCTTTGCTTCATTCTTTTTCACACTGAAATGATCTATACATCCAAGTTAGCAGAAGTTGTGACAGCCCAGAATGGTTGTCTATAGAAGCTTACCATTGGATGTCGACCAATATAAGAGCGATGCATGGGAACTATGAAAGAAGGCTTGTCAGATTTGTATGCTTTTGCTCTCTGAAGAGCTAAAGCTTTTCCACTTGTAGTCAATGGATGCCTCCTCCCACGAACGACTTGTGTTCGTTTTAGGAATCTTGGGGTGCTAGACGTGCCTCGATCATGTCTTTTGGATGGAAAATCAACGTTGCCTGTAAAAGAATATAACATGAAATTACAACTTAGAACAGAAGAATGGCAGAAAAGGCAACAATATAAAACATGGAAAACCAAAATGAATATTCCATAAATTTCATTTCTGATTTGGACCCAATTGTAAGTTAATGTTGTTTTGTGCTTTACCACTTGAACTTGTTCTTTTTTTCTTGTGAGGCCGAGGACATGGAAATGAAGATTTCCCCTTCGATTTTCTTGGGCATGGTGGAAATTTGTCTAAGATTTCAAGAGAAGCATCATCAGAATGATCATCAGATTCATCACTAGAGTCATCATCCGCGTCAGTTTCTTTCATCTCTGGCATCGTTAATGGATATTCAATCTCTATGAAACTTTCATCAAATATGCAAATGTGAAATTTGGAATTCCCTTCATATCCAAAAACCAAGGAGTGACAGTGCTCTAGAAAGTAAAACTCAGAGAACTCTGGCCAACCCTTGTCAAACCAAGCCTCACCCTCCCATCTTCTGAGTTCTATGTTCCATTTTGAACCATTTGGAAGCTTAAGAAGTACTGGATTTGATAGATCATCTCCATATTTCCTCAAAAATTTCTTTGGAATACTCTGCACAGCACAAAACGTGTCATCTGACTGATCATAAAGTGAAAAACGTAACTGGTCTTTTTGTGGCCAAGAAATGAGTCATCTCTATAGTATATAAATACTAACAGGTGTCCATGCCCTAAAGAACAGAAAACAGCAGCCATGATGAAACCATGAACCAAAGCCAATTAATTCCAATATATGTCAAATGGGCATCATGGAGAGCTTACAAGTTTGCTCTCTCTACAAGTACCCTTTGGAACCATCATAAAGAAATGGGGATTGGTAGCATAACATTTTGGCCAGTTATGGATTTCCCTACGAAGAAAAGTCATCGTTGAAGACTTAAAGTTTCAAAGCTTTAAGAAGTGTTTCAAAGTTTATGGAACAAACAAAGCTGTTGTTTCTGAATCTTTTTCGTTAATTTGTATTCCCAGTTCTCTCTCAGATAGAAAAACAGCGGTTCTGTTTTTATGTCTTGAGATAAAAGAGCTTGTGATGAATGCATAAATGTGTGTAGTCATGAGTGTGAGTGAGCACTATTACAGAAAATACTTGCATGATATTTGCATAACCACTGCACCAAACATTTATCAAACGCATAGAAAAAGATTGCCATTTATTTTATAATAAATTATTAAAGAGTGAACTTCAAATAAAACAACCCAATGGACTCAATCATCAGTAATGATTCTTATGCAAATTGGAAGCTTTGAGCATTACCAGGTTCCTCTGACTAAATTATATATACAGAAAGCAGAGTAAACTACAGTTTGAGAGAAGAGAGAGAGAGAGAGAGAGAGAGAGAGAGAGAGAGCTGCTTACAAGTTTGATGTCTCCAGAAGTACCCTTTGGAATCATCATTAAGAAATGGGGTGTGGAAGAGGAGAATGTTTTGGTAGGGTTACCAATTTCCCTGCGAGGAGAATTCATGGTTGAAGACTTGAAGTTCAAAAGCTTGGTGATGTGTTTCAAAGCTCTAAGTTGTGTTTTAAAGTTCAGGGCACAAATCTGTAGTTTCTGAATATATTTCTTTCATTTGTCTTCTCAGTTCTCTCCCAGCTAGAAAAACAGGGGTTCTGTTCTGTACTGTTTCTATGTGATTTGGTGGTGAGGGTGACCAAGACCAACAATAAAGAAGAGAGTAATTAATTACTCATTCACTCAATTCAATAAACTCGTACGTCTGTCACCCAGTGTTTTTGCTTTGTTTTTTAGATCTTTTTTTAGCCTTTTTTCTTTTTGAGATCATTTTTAGTGTAGGGGTATTATTTGTATTCTTTGGGATACTTTTATTTATTTATCAATATTCTTTGGGATACTTGTGTGAGTGAAGTGTTTGTAGCAGTTGTAATTTTTTTTTAATTTGAATATTAACAGTTTTTTGGTTACAGAATATTAACAGTTTTTTTTTGGGGGGGTGTAAAAGGGGGGAATATCAACAGTTTTCAATTAAGTGAAATACCGTAAAAGAAATAAAAGAAGCTTTTTTTTTTTTTTTTTTTTTTTTAACAAAAAAAAAAAAAATTTTTTTTTTTTTTTTTTTTTTTTTTTAATCACAAAGAAACGAAGCTTAATAAACGTTGGCGACTGGAATTCAAACAGCTCCACAGGCCACAATCTATTAAAGGCTGAATTTATTGTATCTAAGAAACTCCTGGAAAAACTGGATGCTCTATATTCTACATAAAACAGTATTGTTGAATATGATGGTGAGAATGAATGATCATAATTAGGTCTAAAATTTCGAGGTTTCGGAAATGGAGATGAATTAAAATTGACTAAAAAAAGTATAGAGATCTCCTAGATTTACATCGATGCATTTAAACTTCTTTTTTAAAAGTTATATTTTTGTTTTTGGCATGTTAGAGAACTCAATGTGATTGATTGAGAAAAAAAAAAAGGAATAAAACAAAATAAAATTGAGAAATGTAGCACTTTATCATTGTCTTTAAAAGTGCTGAGATTTGATTAAACAAATTTACAGGCCCCGATCAATAATAACTTGAACAGTTGCCTTTTCAATGGGGAAGAATTCGATTTGGTTACAAAAAGTATGGAGCAGTGATGACTTTTTCAAATGAATTGTTGAAGATGGCAACTGAAACTCAAAAGAACAATGTCATTATAGACTCGAAGATTGAGCCTTTTCTAAGGTGATCAAAACAACAATGAAGGACAAATAAACATACATATGTTTGGATTTGGACACCTTTTAAATTTGCAGGCCTCCTCTGCCTTGAACATTCAGACTCAACTTGGTAGTACAGATTCAATTAGTTGATCTATCAGTCTTCTCTTTCAATTATTCAAGGTGCAATGTGCAGCTTTTGATTTGGTGCGGTAAAAGGCAACATCAAATAAAGGTTTGATGTTGTTAACCAACACAAAGACACACATCACCGATTACCAAATTATTCTCTCTCACAAAGTCCATCCAACCACCTTGGAATCTAGTTCTTGCATCGCCATATTGGTCTAATTTGACAGACCATGTTCTTCCATCTGAAACCCGAAGGATGGCATAAGTACTTGTCTGGTTAAGATGTTCTTTGACAAACGAGGATGACAAGTTCTGGAAAAAGAAAATGAAAAATAAATAAGAAGGAAAGCAGGAAAGACGTTGATAAAATTTTGGAGAGAGTTTCTGATTTAATTTTCTTTCTAAAAGGAATGTGATGGCTCTATAGAAAGCTTACCATATGATGCCCATGGATATAAGTGGCATGCATAGCAATCTTGAAAAAAGGGTATTTAGATGCGAAAGAGTTTGCTCTCTCAACAGCACTTTCAAGAGATATATGTGGAGGTTTCTCTCTTGTTTTTCTTGGGACGGGTGGAAAATCATCTAGGATTTCAATAGAATTATCACCAGAATCATCACCAAAATCATAGCCAAAATCGTCATCAGCTGGCGACAAATTACTCACGAATTAGGCAACATATTAACCAACATATTCACAAATTAACCAACATATTACTCACCTGGTGACAAGGTACAATTTGCAGCTTTTGTAGCGCAAAACAAGACAACATCAAATAAAGGTTTGACGTCGTTAATCAACTCAAAGACACACACATCACCAACTTCCAAATTGTTGTCTTGCACAAATGGTGTCCAACCACTCAGGAATATTACTCTTCCTCTGGCATCTTGCCCTAATTTGACAGGCCAAGTTCTTCCATTTGGAACATGAAGTACGATGTTGTCATGAGTCCAGTTAATGTGTTCCTCGGAAAATTTGGCTGGCAAACGCTGCAAGAGAAAAAGGAAAGCAGTAAAGACTTGTAAAACTTCGAAGAGTATTTATGATTAATTTTTTTATGTAAAAGGAAGTATCTATGTTAGTTTAATTCTTCTCAGACTGACATGTACCCATAGAAGTTAACAGAAGTTGTACTTGAAGCCTCTATAGATAGCTTACCAAATAACTTCTATGGAAATACGAGTGATGCATAAGAACCCAACAAAAAGGGTATTCGGACTTGAATGCCTTAGCTTTCTGAAGAGCTATATCTTTTCCAGTTGCCGCAACTGGATCAATCCTCCTAGGAACCTCAGTTCCTCGAACTAGGAACTTTCGAGTCCTACAAACATCTTTGATTTTGCTTTCTGCTTTACTAATTGAACATGCTCTGCTTTTCTTGCGTAGCTGTGGTTCTATTGGAGATTTCTTCCTTGTTTTTGGACATGATGGATAATCGTCCACAGTTTCAATAAAACCATCATCTTCATATGTTTCTTCCATCTTGGGTATAGTTTGTTCCCCATCAACATCTGCAGGCACATAACAATATATGACAGTGGGGGATAGTTGTCTATGGCACTTCCATCAAATAATAAATTCAAAAATTAGTCGACAACTTACCTGGTGATAAGGTGCAATTTGGAGCTTCTGTAGCATGGAAAAAGACAACATCAAATAAAGGTTTAATGTTGCTAATCAACTCAAAGACACACACATCACCAATTTCCAAATGATTGTCTCGCAGAAACGTCCCCCAGCCACTCTGGAATCTGATTCTTCCTCTGCCCCAGTGGCCTAATTTGACAGGCCAAGCTCTTTCACCCGAAACACAAAGGATGGCGTTATCATGAACCTGGTTAAAATGTTCCTTGACAAACTCGGCTGGCAAAGACTGCAAGAAAAAAGGGACGCAGCAAAGACAATAATAAGATTCTGGAGAGTACTTATGATTTATGTTGCTTTGTAAAAGGAGGTATCTTTGCTAACTTAATTCTTTTCAGACTGAATGTGTAGATAGATTTAGCAGAAATTGTACATGATGCCTCCATAGAAAGCTTACCAGGAAACCTCCAAGGAAAAATTGGAGATGAATAGCTTATCAACCTAAAAAAAGGGTATTCATATTTAAAAGCCTTAGCTCTCAAGACATGATCTATACATACAAGTTAACAGAAGTTGTGATGGCCCAGCATGGCAGTACATAGAAAGCTTACCATACGATATCCATTAATATTAGTGCTCCCCATGGAAACCATGAAAAAAGGGTTGTCAGATTTGAAAGCTTAGCTCTCTGAAGAGCTATAGCCTTCCCACTTGTAGTCGATGGATGCAGGCTCCCAAGAATCGGTTCTGTTCGCTTTGGGAATCTTGCAGTGATAGACTTGCCTCCACCATTTCTTTTGGCAGGAAAATCAACTTTGCCTGCTAAAGAATATAATAGGACATTACAAGTTAGGAGACAAACACACAGAAAACACAATAATGTAAAAGATCAAAACAAAAATGTACGAAATTTTCATTTCTGATTTGGACCAATTTTCATTTTCAATTTACTTCTCAATCATCATTTCATAAGGCCGAGTGTTTCTTGGTCTTATTAAGATGTAGAACTAAGATGTTTGGTTTCTGCTTTACCGCGTGAGCTTGTTCTGGCTTTCTTGTGAGGCCGAAGACACTGCAACGGAGATTTCTCCCTTGATTTTCTGGGGCGGGGTAAAGATTTGTCTAAGATTTCAGTAACATCACCAGAATCATCAGAATTGGTTTCTTTCATCTTGGGAATTTTTAATGCATAGTCAATCTGTTTGAAACTTTGATCAAATATGCAAACGTTGAATTTAGAATTCCCTTCATATCGAAAAACTAACGAGTGACAGTTGTCCAGAGAGTGGAACTCAAAGAACTCAGACCAACCCTTGTCAAACCAAGCCTCACCATCCCATCTTCTGAGTTCCACTTTCCATTTTGAACCACTTGGAACGTTAAGAAATACTGGATTTGACAGATCATCTCCACATTTCATCACAAATTTATTTGGGATCCTCTGCACAACACAGAACATGTGAAAAGCATTATCTCATCTTTCTGTCGCTAAGATATGAGACATCTGAATAACATATTGCATAACCACTGCACCAAACATTTTTCAAACGCATAGAAAAAGGTTACCGTTTATTTTATAATAAAATTTTAAAGAGTAAACTTGATTCCCGAAACACAAAGGATGGCGTTATCATGAACCTGGTTAAAATGTTCCTTGACAAACTCGGCTGGCAAAGACTGCAAGAAAAAAGGGACGCAGCAAAGACAATAATAAGATTCTGGAGAGTACTTATGATTTATGTTGCTTTGTAAAAGGAGGTATCTTTGCTAACTTAATTCTTTTCAGACTGAATGTGTAGATAGATTTAGCAGAAATTGTACATGATGCCTCCATAGAAAGCTTACCAGGAAACCTCCAAGGAAAAATTGGAGATGAATAGCTTATCAACCTAAAAAAAGGGTATTCATATTTAAAAGCCTTAGCTCTCAAGACATGATCTATACATACAAGTTAACAGAAGTTGTGATGGCCCAGCATGGCAGTACATAGAAAGCTTACCATACGATATCCATTAATATTAGTGCTCCCCATGGAAACCATGAAAAAAGGGTTGTCAGATTTGAAAGCTTAGCTCTCTGAAGAGCTATAGCCTTCCCACTTGTAGTCGATGGATGCAGGCTCCCAAGAATCGGTTCTGTTCGCTTTGGGAATCTTGCAGTGATAGACTTGCCTCCACCATTTCTTTTGGCAGGAAAATCAACTTTGCCTGCTAAAGAATATAATAGGACATTACAAGTTAGGAGACAAACACACAGAAAACACAATAATGTAAAAGATCAAAACAAAAATGTACGAAATTTTCATTTCTGATTTGGACCAATTTTCATTTTCAATTTACTTCTCAATCATCATTTCATAAGGCCGAGTGTTTCTTGGTCTTATTAAGATGTAGAACTAAGATGTTTGGTTTCTGCTTTACCGCGTGAGCTTGTTCTGGCTTTCTTGTGAGGCCGAAGACACTGCAACGGAGATTTCTCCCTTGATTTTCTGGGGCGGGGTAAAGATTTGTCTAAGATTTCAGTAACATCACCAGAATCATCAGAATTGGTTTCTTTCATCTTGGGAATTTTTAATGCATAGTCAATCTGTTTGAAACTTTGATCAAATATGCAAACGTTGAATTTAGAATTCCCTTCATATCGAAAAACTAACGAGTGACAGTTGTCCAGAGAGTGGAACTCAAAGAACTCAGACCAACCCTTGTCAAACCAAGCCTCACCATCCCATCTTCTGAGTTCCACTTTCCATTTTGAACCACTTGGAACGTTAAGAAATACTGGATTTGACAGATCATCTCCACATTTCATCACAAATTTATTTGGGATCCTCTGCACAACACAGAACATGTGAAAAGCATTATCTCATCTTTCTGTCGCTAAGATATGAGACATCTGAATAACATATTGCATAACCACTGCACCAAACATTTTTCAAACGCATAGAAAAAGGTTACCGTTTATTTTATAATAAAATTTTAAAGAGTAAACTTGATTTAAAACAACCCAATGGACTCAATCATCAGTAATGATTCTTATGGAAATTAGAAACTTTGAGCATTACCAGGTTCCTTTGACTAAGTTATATATAGAGAGCAGAGCAAACTACAGTTTGAGAGAGAGAGAGAGAGAGAGAGAGAGAGAGAGAGAGAGAGAAAGAGAGAGAGAGAGAGCTAGCTGCTTACAAGTTTGATGCCTCTAGAAGCACCCTTTGGAATCATCATAAAGAAATAGGGAGTGGTAGAGGAGAATCTTTTTGTAGGGTTATCAATTTCCCTACGAAGAGAAGTCATAGTTGAAGACTTGAAGTTCAAAAGCGTTGTGATGTGTTTCAAAGTTGAGGGAAATCTGTAGTTTACTTCATTTGTCTTCCCAGTTCTCTCCCAGCTAGAAAAACGGGGGTTCTGTTCTCTTTCTGTGTGATGTGGTGGTGACCAATTTATTTATTTTAACGAAGGTGGTGACCAACTTACTCGGGCTTAAATTAATTGACCCGACCAATAAAAATGTAATTGATCACTCACTCAACTAATCAACTCAACGTCGGTGCTTCAACTCACTCACCGACGTTGGTATTTTTGAGGTTTTTTTTTATTCTGTCCGTTTTTTGAGAGTTTTTTAGGTCATTTTTAGTGTAGGGGTATTTGTATTCTTTGTGATATATTTTCTTGGTCAATATTGTGATGAATGCAAAAATGTGTGTAGTAGTTGCATTTTTTTCCCGTCAATATTGCGAAATACCATAAAAATAATTTAAATAAAAAGAAGCTTTTTTTTTTTAATTGTCACCGTAATTTGCAAAGGCAGACAATCCACTAGATAATTAAGTTGGCAATTGGAATTCAAACACTGAATTTCTTGTGTCTACGAAACTCCTGGAAAAACCAGCTCTACATTCTACATAAAACAGATGTATTGTTGAATATGATTGTGAAAATGAATCCTCATAATGGGGATCAATTAAAACTTACTAAAAAAGAGAACAGAGATCTCCTAGATAATAGATTTACATTGATGCATTTTCAAAAGAGTTGTTCAAGATGAAAACTGGTACGCATAGCAACCTTGAAAAAAGGGTGTTTGGATTTGAAAGCATTAGCTCTTTGAAGAGCTATAGCATTTCGGCTTGCAGGGAAATCAACTTTTCCTGTTGAAGAATATAATCAAACATTACTGGTTAGAACAGAACAAAGTAAGGTTAACAAAATAGATGAATCTTTGATTTTTCATGGACTTCTCAAACTTCATTTCATCATATTGAATGCTTCTTAGTCTGACTAAGTTTGATCTTGGTGTAATTCTACTTTACCACTTGAACTGGCTTTGTTTTTCTTGGGAGGCTGAGGACATGGCATTGGAGATTTCTCCTTTGTTCTTCTTGGGAAAGTTGTACAATTTTCTGTAGTTTCAACAGAATCGTCAGAAAGATAATCAGCATCACCAGACTCATCACTAGAGTCATCACTAGGATCATCATCTTCATTAGTTTCTTCTATCTCAGGCACTGTTTGTTCCCTATCATTGGGGCAATTAGCAGCTTCTATGGTGGGAAAAATGACAACATCAAATAAAGGCTTAACCTTGTTGTCAATCGACTCAAAAATACACACATCATTAACTTTCAAATTATTGTCACGCACAAATTCCATCCAACCATACAGGAATTGAGCTCTTCCTCCTCCATATTTCAAATTAACAGGCCAAGTTCTCCGATCCAATATTCGAAGGATAACCTCACAAGAATTCTTAATAGGATATAGCTTGTGAAACTCGGATGGCAACTACTGGAAAAGGAAAAAAAAAAAAAGTGGAAAGAAAGAAGAAAACAATAAGAAAATCTTTAAAGAGATAGAACACTAATGATTGTTCCACAGAGATAAGTAAACAGAATTTGTTAAAGCCCAGCTAGCAAGCATGGTTGTCTATAGAAGGCTTACCAAAATGTACCATGTGATATAGGAGGGCTTCATGGCAACAATGATAGAAAAAGGGTGTTGAAATTTGTAAGCATTAGCTCTCTGAAGAGTTGTAGCTTTTCCACTTTTAGGCAATGGACGGATACTCCCAAGAAACCCACTTGTTTATTTTTCGAATCTTCGAGTGCTTGATGTGATTCCACTGCCTAATTTAGCAGGATAACCATATTTCCCTGTTAAAAGAAGACAACATGGTATTGCAAACAAGAACATAATGTCATAAAACACCACATGGTAATTATTAAGAACATGTAATCTATTAGTTTCATTTCTGATTTAGACTTCTGAAACATCAGTTTATAAAGTTGTGTAATTTCTTGGTTTAATTTTGCTTTACCTCTTGAACTTGTCCTGTTTTTCTTCTGAGGCCTAGGACAAGGCAATGAAGATTTCTTCCTCGTTTTTCTTGGGCAAGTAGAATCGTCTGGTTGTTCTTTTACAGAATCATCACTAGAATCTTCATGAAAATCATCGTCTGTATCATCAGTTTCTTCCATCTTCTGCTTTCTCAAAGGATAGTCAACCTCTATGCAAGTTCTATCAAATATGCAAACCTGGAATTTGGAATTCCCTTGATATCCAAAAACTAGCCAGTGACCCCTGTCTAGAGAGTAAAACTCAAAGAAGTTTGCCCAACCCTTGTCAAACCACACATCACCATCCAATCTTCTGAGGTCTACTTTCCATGCTGAACCATTTCCACTTAAAAGCTCAAGAGATACTGGATTTGATAGATCATCCCCATATTTCATCACAAATTTCTTTGGAATCCTCTGCACCATAAAGATTGTGTCAAGTAACTGATCAAAACGTGAACGAATCATTTTTTTTTTGTGTGGATAACAAATGAATTATCTCAGACGTCTCACAGCATAACAAGCATTTTTCACACATGTATGACTAAAAATATAAAGAGAGTGTGAGAAAGATAGAGGTGCTTACAAGTTTTGCGTCACTGGAAGTGTTGCCATTTAGAATGATCTTGAAAAAATGGGGAGTGGTAGGGGAAAATGTTGGCCAATCATCAATTTCTTGGGGTAAAGAAGCTATAGCTGAACTTCTGTGGTATCGAATTTCAAAGCTTTGGAAGTAACTGTGGTTTACTTGAGTAATATGACAGTAAAGTAGTGGAGTTAATACAAGCCCAACTTTTTTTTTTCAACCTACCTAACACTTCATGTGATACTATTATATTCTTTAGACCTAAAAAAATAAACAAAAAGCTTGGCTCTTTAAAATTAGGATAAACACCTTCCTTCTCTTTCTCAATATATATGGCACTTTTTTTTTTGTCGAGAATATATGTGGCATTTTATCTTCAATTAAAAAATCAATCATGTGCTAACGAGGCCTAATTTAGTGAAAAATTGTTTTGACTTGTAAAATAATAGTCTCAAGTTCGAACTTCTATGACACTATGATAGTGTGTGTGATAAACCAATCATGCTTGTAATTCAGACTGTCGCTTGCAGTACAAACCGAACGTGGTAGCTATGTTGGTAGCAAATAAAAATAAAAATCTTTTGGTAAATAAAATTTTGGAAAGTAAGAGCAAAAGTCCAATTAAGTTGGGAAACAAACCAATCAACTCAATCCTTGTCCTATCCTTTATATCATGTCAGTGAAAGGACGTAAACTGGTGACTTTATGAGTTGGCTTTGATTAGGTTGATGGAATGGAGCCAATAATATATGAAAGTAATTTAAAAGTGCTTGCTATATTCAGATCTGGGGAAAATGTTGTAGTAAATCCATCCGCCTGGGGCACATGGGATCATCTCCCATGAAGTTAGACACGACATTGACTGCCTTGATAAGTACAAAAGAAGGGGCACCAGCTTAAGAAATTGGCTTCATAGAATTTTTTTTGTTCTCTATTTACCCCCTGCTATACCCAATAAAAGTAAAACTATATGAGAAAAAAAAAAAATTACAAAGTGTAGTATCGTATGATTCTTAATCTTGTTTTTAAAGTTAAGGGAAGAATTGTCAACAAGTTCTAGTCTAGAGGTGTTCACGGTCCGATTTAGTCCAATTTTCATCCCAAATCATAATTAAAACTGCCATTATTCATTCAATCCAGTTTGATTGGGTTTTGATGAAAAAATTATACAATCTGGTATGGTCCAATTTGCCTTTTTCTTTTTTTTTTCTTTTTTTAATATAAATATTTATTTAAATAAAACTTAACAAATTTTTAATTTTTTGGGCTTAAAAATTCACAAATGATCTAATTTTGTGCAAAGGAAGATGATTTGGAGTTGGTTTAAAGGAAGAATGTAAAGTGCAACTTACCTTTCAATTAGGTTGAATAGCAAATAATATATAGACGTAATCTCAAGGAATGTAAGAAAGATCAACCAATTAACTCCATTAATCATCAATGGTCAATTTATCCAATTTACCAGGATATGCTTTTAATTTTGTTAAAAAAAACACTTAGGCCTAATTTATTTATACCAATTTTAGTGAAATCTCCAATCTAGATAAAACACATGCATGTTTTTAGCTGGACAAAATCTAGACCCCATGGCTGCACCACAGATGCTAGACAGTACAAATACATGTGCTTGTAGAATGAATGACAAACCGCAATTTAGATATAATAAACAAAATAAAATCCCATTTTGCTAACCAAAATGTTAACACTCAATCACATTAAACTTTAGTAATCAACTAGAAACTAAGTGATCTTTTTTTGGACAGTGATGAGCCCCTAAAAATGAAAAACCATTAGAGCACTTCCACCAGTTAGCCCCTTGCCAGGGCAAGGGGAGCCCTAGGGCGGCCACTATTCACGTGAATAGTGGCTGCCCTAGCCCAACCAAGTAAAGTGTGTTTCCAGCAGTTTAGGCTTGCCATGGCAAATACTATTCATTTTTTTTTCTTTTTCACAACTTTGTTTACTTAAACATTTGATTTGAATAATATTTTCTGATAAGATTTTTGGGTTCCTCCGTGTCAATACTATTCATATCAGATAACATTTTTAGTTTCAAATTTCATATAAATTTCAAAATTCAGATAAATCAATACAACTAATAAAATAAAATACATGAATGACCACTAATTATTAAAACAAAACAAAAAAATACACTGAAATGAAAGGCAAGCAAACTAAGAAATGAAAGGCAAGATTTTATTTTATCGGATAATATTTTCGGATAAGATTTTATTTTATTAGTTGTATTGGTTGGTATTTATAGAAAAAAAAAGTATGAGGATTTGGTGTTAGAAGTGAAGAGTATTGGTTGGTATTTATAGACATTGGCGGACCCGAAATTTTTTTAGCAGAGGTGCAATATTGACTAAGTATGAAAAATGGTTTTTCGGAATAATCATTTTCTCAAGATAATTTTTGGCGGCTTTTATTCCTTACACATCAAATAAGAAAACTTGATTTTATGGGATTTTAATATGAAGTATATATTGACTTAATGAGCCATCATTTTTAGCCTAAATCGTATTTTGCACTAAAATCGTTTTTTCATATTTTGATTTGGTGGGAATTTAATTTTCTAGTATTTTTATTTGAATCCAAATTGGGGGTACTTCCTTATTTACATTGTAAACTTAAATGTTGAAAATGGAAATAAGGTATAGAGAGAAATTTTGGTTTTTTTTTTTTCAAATTTTTCGGATTTTTTTTCAATTTTTTATTACAAAAATATTGGCTGCCGTTGGATTGGAGTAAAAATTATGATCGGAGAGCCCATGACACGACACATGGCACATAATCGTTGGCGAACACTGTAGCGCTGGCGTCATGACGACGTCAGCACGGGCCAGCCCGTTTTGCTGGGTCCCACCATCGCTCCCGGGCCTGCCTCCACTGTTGAAAACGAGTTTTTATCCCAAACTACCCCCACCCCTTCCCCAAACCCCAATGCTGGAAGTGCTCTTAGAGAAAGGAGTTACTTGTTCAAAAGGAAATTATTTTAGAATTTTGGCCCAGGCCCCAATCAGCCACTTCATTTCTCTCTCTCTCTCTCCGGAAAGGCTATAATGAGGGCTTAAAGTGAGGAGGTTATTTGAGGAGGTTAAATCTCACTATCAATAAATGTAAAGAAATCATGGGACTTAAATATTTTAAATATTTTGACAGTCGGATCGGTATCCTCACTAGAGAGACCAAAACTTACAAGCTTTCCACCTCAAAGAGCCTACTGAAGGAAAATCTTGAAGAAGCTTGGCGTGTCCACTGGACGCTGGTAGTGGAGGAAGAACCTTTGGTTAATGACCTTCACTGGTTCTGATATAAAGTTAGTATATTTTACAATAATGAAGATAGGAAGCTTTTGAAACCCCATATTTCTTCCTTTTTTTCATCTTTATTTAATTAAGAATTATGGTTTAAGTGAAATTTGTGCAGTTAGGTAGCAAACGGATATGAAACTTTAGTTTATGCATCAAAATATATTAAGTTGCACTTACAATAAATCCAGGATTGTACAACATCAGAAATATTTAACTACAAAGTGACTCCTAAGTAGTATCCAGAGACCCTCTTTAACTACAGCAAATAGTGTCCATTTAAACAGCAAAAAGTGATTAACTGAGCTCTTTGCATCTCTCTTGAAATGACATAACTTTGCCAAATCAATGTCTGAAAATGTGAACTTTCAGTACAATGTTGTTTCTCTCGATGAGCTCAAACGTACAAACATCTCCTCCCCTCAAACAATTTTCCGTCGCAAATGCAGTCCATCCACCAGAAAGTTTAGCTGGTGATTCTTCAGCCCAACCAATCAAATTCACAGGCCATGATCTCTCTCTAACCTGAAGAGTCACGGTTTGCTTCCTCCCTTTGATGAAACTCCGGGCAAACCTAACTGGAACATGCTGCATAAGATGGATATATGGTACTCAACACAATCACTATATGGAAATGAAACTCTATGCAAACCAAGAGAGGATTAGTAAATAAATAATGGACGTGATTTTGAACTAGTGCATAGACAACATATATACATATACACATCTATGCACAAGCAATTAGCTTACATTTAGTATTTATGTTTGAAGCTAAGTTGTATAAGTATGTACTTGTAGAACCTACCAATGGCTGATATGTTGACCCTATAGAGAGAATATGGATTTATTATTTTGCTTAATACTTTTCACGCTACGGCCTTAAATTATTAGACTATGGAAATAGTTGCAACTTGTTTTTAGAAAGCTTACCAAAGGACCGTATGAGATGTACGATGGCTGCATGACAACAGTAAAAGAAGGGCATACAGATTCAAAAGCAATAGCTCTCTGAAGAGCTATGGCTTTTCCACTTGTAGTTGATGCATGCATGCTCCCAACACCGTCTTTGACCTCTGATGGTGCTAATGGAGATTTTTCCCCTGTTTTTGGGCAGGAGGGAAACGTGTCCAATGTCTCAACAGAATCATCATCTGATTCATCTTCCTCTGTTCAAGATTATAACGAGACAAAACACAAGAAGAAAAAATGTATATATATTATATTCCTTACTTTTCATTTCTGATCTTGAGCAATCTGAGGCTTTGTTTCTCAGTGAAGTTTGAGTCTTTGTTGGTCTAAAGTTGATGTTGCATTCTGCTTTACCAGATGTTCTCATTTTCTTGTGCGGCTGAGGACATGGCAATGGAGATTTGTCCCTTGCTTTTCTTGGGCAGGGTGGAAAACCATCCAAGATTTCTACAGAGTTATCATCTTCTTCTTCATAATCAGTTTCTTCCATTTCGGGCTTTGTTATGGCATATTCAACCTCAGTAGATGTTCTATCAAATATTAAAACATGGAAGTTTGAGTTCCCTTCGTATCCAAAGACTAGCCAATTAGCGTAGTCAAGAGAGCAAAACTTGGAGAACTCCGGCCAACCCTTGTCAAACCAAACCCCACCATTATTGCATCTTCTGAGTTCTATTTCCCATTCTGCACCATTTGGAAGTTTAAGATGTACTGGACTTGATAAATGTTCTCCATATTTCATCACAAACTTCATTGGAATTTTCTGCACAACAGAACATGTTAAAGCTTCAATAAAAATAACAAAAGAAATGAATATTTCAATAATCAGAAAACATTCTTAGCACAGTAATAGAGAGAGAGAGAGAGAGAGGTGCTTACAATTCTGATGTTTTTAGCAGTGTCATCTAGAATGATCTTGAAGAAGTGGGGTATGGGAGCTGAAGATGTTGGAGCATCATGAAGAGAAGCCATGGCTGAATTAACTCAAAAGCTTGATTGAGAGATGTGTTCAAAATCAAAAGCTTGAATGAGTTTTATGGAAGCATGTTAGACGGAGTTGATATAGTTCACTAAGCTCGAAAAGGAATCTAATTATTTCAATCAGCAGAAGGGCCATTACCTTTTTTTTTTTTGGGGAAATGGAGAGTCATCAGTATTTAGTACGACCCCATGCTTGTTGATTGGTTTTTATTTATTTATTTATTTATATTCATGTCTTTATCTCTTCAATTATTATTTTTTTCTTTTGAGATATAGTTATTTCTTCATGTTTAAACAAAAAATATAAGTTATTTCTCCAATATTATCTGTGTGCCACTTATTTTTCTTCACTTTGATTCACGATTAGTGGTATCAATCTAGTCGAACCGATGTAATTGGTCGATTTAAATCGTAATTATCAATTTAGTTTGGTTTTGATCAAGAAAAACTCAACAGATTTAAAATCAAACCAGACCATATATGATTTGATTTGGTTCGATTTTGAGCTCTTATTTTTATTTTACATGTGTAGCACTTTAATTACATAATAACGATATATTGATATTGAATTTGAAGTCTGATGGACCCTAGGAGTTAATGATATTTGAATTGTAGCTATATTAGTTATTGAAATTTAAAGTTTTATGACATGTTGAGTTTTAGGATGGTTTGATCCTATAGAAAAACAAAAAAAGAATGTAGCAAGTTATGAATTTTTTGTTGTAATTGGGCTAACAATGTTGAAAAATGCAAAAAGGAAAGTTAATTGGGTTTAGGCCCAAACTAGCTGAACAAAACCGAATCAAATCACCTTAAATTGGTTTGGTTTGGTTTAGTTTCCTCCATATTTTTCGTCAAAACCAACTGAACCAAATCATTATATTGTAATTGATTTGGCTACAATTTTAAAGTGAAACTGATCCAAATTAGATCGTGCCCACCCTTTGTGGAGGAGAACATTTTTACTCACCCAGGATTGGTGTTTGGTAATAAATTTGGTCAAAATAAAGTGTGCATGGTTAATGGTTGTACGGATGAGAATGTCCTTAGTAGTAAGACCCAAGCATTGTTATTTTGTCCCTTTTCATCGTGCACCTACCTAGGAATTAAGTTGATGGAAAATTAAGACAAGATAATAATGAAAATAAACAAATTGTGTCTGTACAGAGTAGAGGTGGCCATCAATGGGGTTAAATTGACTAAATCGGGGAATTCAAATTGTTTGTACCATAGCTGACCTTATCACTTACTTCACGACACGTGGAAAGAGTATGGAGTTAAGGAGAGTTTGACCCATCGACAGACTGGTCGAAAGTATGAATCGGTATAGGTAACCGAATCATCACAAAGCATTGTCTTTACCTGTTGATCGGCTCGCACTCTCGGGAGCTCTTAAGACGTAACGATCGGCACTCCATGCCGATTATATGAAAGGATCTCGAAAATTCCCCACTGATATTTTGCGAACTCATGTCGACCTCGGCGGGCACTCCCACGAGTCCCACATTGAAACTAAGTACTAAGAGCGTCCCAAATACTCTCTATAAAAAGGACCCCTTGCCCTAGACAAGGGGTAAGATCTCTCAGCTTGATTTATGATACAAATACTTGCTAAAATAGAGACTTCTCCCAAACTTACTTTGCCATCGGAGGGTCTTGGGCCGATACCACACCGGTGCTCTCGACCTCGTCCATTATTTCTTTTCTTAGCCCAGAGCGAAGCATCATACTCCAAGGTATCGAATGCTCACATCAAGGGTCCACCCGGCCGAATCACCACACCACCTGTAAGTTACCTCTATCTCTATCTGTTTAGTTTTAGGGCGAACACAAATTACAATTATGGGTTTAGTTTGGTTTTGATTAAGAAAAAGTCAAATGTTTTCAAAATCGAACTGGATCGTATATTGTTTAATTTGATTTGGTTTTTGGGCTTTTGTAAACCGGCTTAAACCGAACCAAATCGTCTACTTGTATATTTATTTTATTTTATTTTATTTTATTTTGCACATGTAGTCCTCTAATTAGATATAACTATAAATGAATGTTGAATTTGAAGTTTGATAGACTTTTGAAGTTATTGATATATGAGTTTTAGCCATATTAGTTATTGAAATTTGAAGTTTTATGAAATGTTTGAGTGTTAGGATGGTTTGATATACTAGAGAATGAAAAAAGTATGTAATGAGTTGTGAATTTTTTTGGTTGTAATTGGACTAACAATATTAAAAAAAAATGCAAAAGAAAAAATAATTGGGCCTAGGGCTGAACCAAACCAAACCAAATCGCCTTAAATTGGTTTAGTTTCCTCTGTGATTTTTTGTTAAAACCAAACCAAGCTGTTATATTATAATTGATTTGGCTGCGATTTTGATATGAAATCGATCCAATCCGGACCGTGTCCAGAGTACTTAAGTCATCATTTATCTTTACACTGGCGGTTCTCATTTCCTTTTATTTCAATAATAATAGCTTTTGATGGTAACAAGGTATAGCCCAATAAAAAGAGTCTTGACTTGTAAACCAGCAATCTTAGGTTCGAACCCAAATGACATCTTGGTAGTGTGTGTGTGTATGAGAAACCCCTACTTCCCTTGTAGCTATCAGTTGTATTTTTTTTTTAAAAAAAAACCTTTCTGAAAAAATCTTTGTGATTAACAATCATCTCCTTTTATACGATGTCTGGAAACTTAAACGATAAGATAATGCACCTAAAACTAAAGGTTTTGATAAGATCAGAAATATTACTAGTATGGCACGATTAACTATTGGAGGAGCTAAAATACGCAAACACATCTCCTTTCTTTTTCAAGGTTATTAGCTATCGCAGGAGCTGCGCTATTATGATTTATGAAGAAGTAGCTCATCAAAACCCACGTGAGAATCTTTTGTCCCCTCAGCCAAACCACAAACGTCATTGACCAGATTACGAGGCTCTGCAATATGTGCTAGCTAGCTGGTGTTTCCTTTATTTGACCCACCAATGACCACAGCAGCATGCCACGTCTGGGATGATGATGGCTTTGTTTTGGCATTTTCATTTTAACTTTTTATGCTATTCATAATGTTCCAAAAATAAATAAAATTCATATTGTTCAAAATAAAATTCATCTTCAAATAAATAAATAAAACACGAGCACTTGGCATAAATTAACCGAGAAATAGCATAACATGATAGTAAAAGAGGTCTTGCATAAACCAAGGTGGTTGGTGTGAGTGGTTCGGCACTCTCATTCCTTAAGAGAGGTAAGGGGTTCGATCCCTGCTCTCGTATGGAGTCACCACTTTGGCCAGCACAAAAAAAAAAAAAAAAAAAAAAAAAAAAAAAAAAAAGAGGTCTTGCATATAAGATAGAAACAACATATCACTCATAAGCTACCTTATAGCAGGGCCCTTAGTTATAAGCTCAAGCACACAGGCATCACCTTCTTCCAAATGATTGTCCTTCACAAATGGCCCCCAACCAAAATTGTGGAATCTTGTTCTTGACCTCCCCTTGTATACAGTGGTAATGCACTTGACTGCCCAAGATCTCTCATCATTTGAGATCTGCAGCAATGAAACACCTCTTGCACATATCTGTTTGTTGGCAAATGGTACACTTATTGGCTTCAAACGTAAGAAAACACAAAATAAGAGAACTAAGTTACCAAACCAAAATTGAAAAATATATATATATATATATATATATCATTGTGTCCAGCTCATTTCTCTCCTAACCTCATTAGGGTTGCTTACCAGGTGAGTTGATAAGTATGATAGATGCATTTTCATCACACAAAAATGGATTGTTAGATTTGAAGCTTAAAGCTTTTGAGTATGCTAAATCTTCAAGTTCTGTCTTCGCAAAAGTTCTCAATGCTAAATCCCTGTCATGCTTATTTCCTTGACCTTCGGTTTCACTACTTGGATTGGAATTGCCTTCAGCTTCATCATCAGTGCTTGAACTGAAATACTTCATCTCTAGAGTATTTCTCATGAAAATGCGAACTCTGAAATGGGAATGTTCCCCTCCATATCTGAAGAATAACAAGCAACCATGCTTCAGGGAGTAAAATTTCGCGAATTCTGGCCATCCCTTTTGCAGCCAAATCTCTCCGTTGCAGGGCCTAGTCAGTTTTACTGGCCAAACTGCACCATCTGGAACCTCAAGGAATATTTTGTCCGCCATTAAATCTCCATATTCCATCACAAGCATCTTTGGAATTTTCTACAATATTAACAACTTCCTCAAATTCAGATATGTTCATGTATAAAATATGTGCATGAAAAATAAATCAATAAAAAGGAAACAAAGATCGGACTACTTGAGGCATGCAGCTGGTTAATTTCCTTTGAGTTTGAGTTACCCTTTGAAAACTAATTAAATTTAGGGTTAAAGAGTATAGCATTCTCTTTTTCTTTTAGATGAAAAAGGAAAACATGTTAAGGTCTAAAATTTATAAAAAAGCTGAAACTAGATTGGAAATCGAGTGCTCAATTGAAAGGCAGGGCCTTTGCCCTCTCTCCTGCTCCTAGAACTCATATGATCAAAGTTGATGGAGACCCTTCTTTTTCTGTTTTTGTTTTTGGGAGGCTTTTTACACTGTGGAGAGGGTGATTGATGATATATCCATTTGTGAAGACATCAGAGAAGATGGCTTATCAACCATGTGCAAATGCTGGTTTTATTTAAAATAATTAATGCAGTTGTGGTTGGGTTAGGAACTTAGGACCACATTGATCGAGACTTTTTTGATATGCAGACATAGATGTAGACCTTTTTTTTTTTTTTTTCTTTCATATGAGCAAAGCTTGGCTCTTTAGGAGCTCCTCCTTAAAGCAAATGAGATTTTGACACTTGTTAAATTCCAAAACAAAGAAAGTTAGAAGAATTTCAAAAATGGAAAAAGTTAAATGAAATTGACAAGTGTCAAAACCTCATTTATTTTGAGAATGAGCTCATTCTCAGTTTTAAGAAGCCAAGTTTTTTCCTTTTCGTATTTGTTTCCCTCATGTAGGTGAAGTCATAAGTATACATAGGCAAGGCGCAATCGCACGAAACAAATACAAGTTGGGCTGTTGGCAAGGGTTGCAATTGGTGGCATCTCAAGTGCATTAGAAAGTTTCTTCGTTTTAATTGAAAGCATAATGGAGTCGATTTTGAGCTAGAATTTGAATAAAGTGCTCTTATTTTAGTATATAATAATGAAGTTAATGTTTAAAGCAAATTAAGTTGTACAAAATTTTAAATAAATAAACTTTTAAAGGTATTGTGAATTTTTTTTTAATAATTGTTTTTCCCTAAATTTTGTTTGTCAATAAGAGTAGTTTAGAGTATTATCCAATACTATTAGGTCATTGCCTGAGTCTCTATTGTCCGTTTTTGAGTTTTTACTTTTCTAGAGTTATTACTCGTATGAAGAATTTAGTATTTTCAAGTTTAATATTCGTATTGTACACGTACGTACCTATTTTTCATGTTTAATACATTTGCTTTTTACAAAATTTTCAATAATACACACAAATTCACATATTATACACATAATACTCACATATTATTGAATAAAAAAATATAAATACTAATTATTCACCAAGTAAATAATAATTAAAATGTAACTACTAATTAAAGTAATTAAAAAAAAGGGAAATTCAAATTATGCTATTTAATGGGCGGCTATACTTTTAAAAAACTTATTATTCTAGCGTATAGCCGCGCGGCTCTACTTTTTTTACAAACACATACACTAAGCTCCCATAAGGCGGGGGGGGGCCCCTCTTTTTTATTAAGTACGCCGGCGGGGCTATACCCGAGTTTTTTAAAATATAAAAATAGTATAGCCGCACGGCTATTCTATTTCCACAAAAAAAACCTTTGTTTAAAAAAAAAAATAATAATACTTATAGCCAATCGGCTATACTCTGGAATTTTTTCAAACAAAAAAGAGTATAGCCGATCGGCTTTACTCCGGATTTTTCGCGAAAAGACGCGCTAAGCGCTGGGCGGGTCTCTTTTTTTTTTTAATTTTTTTTATAAATAAACAGGATAGCCGGGCGGCTATACCCTTTTTTATAAAAAAAAAGTGGGGAGTATAGCCGTCGGCTCTGCTATTTATAAATAATAAAAAAGGGGCCCAGCGCTTAGTGTGTTTTTATAAATAGTATAGCCGACCGGCTAGACGCAGGATTTTTTAAATTAAAAAGAGAATAGCCGATCGGCGTTACTGGGGTCCTTGTTTTAATTATTTTTAATAAATAGTATAGCCACGCGGCGATACACTTTGCGCGCGTTAAATAGTATAGCCGCGCGGCGATACTTTGGATTTTTTTAAAATAAAAAAGAGTATAGCCGATCGGCTTTACGGGGGCCTTTTTTTTTTTTTTTTGTAAATATTTAATTTATTTAATAAATTGTATAGCTGTGCAGCTATAATGTTTTTAACAAGTATCAGATGAGAGGAAGTGAAGAAAAGCTCTCAATGATTAAGTTACAAACTAGTCCAGATCAGTTACAACTAAGCTTACACAGGCTTATATGGCATTAATTGCCGACAACTTAATCTAATCTAACAATGAGCATACATGGGAACCATGAACTAAGTCTGAAACTTTCTTGTAACTACACAAAAACCTGTCATGTCTACTTCATATAAAGCAATCTGGAGCTTCCCTGTTAATTAAAGTCCTAGACTAAGAAAGAAAAAGTCCTATATGTAGTGCGAAGCATGTATAGTTAAAGAGAGAAAATTGGGCTAGCTTACAAGTTTTTGGTCTCTGGAATTCTTGTCTATGATCATGTTTAAAAAATGGGGAGTTGTAGCAGAAAAGTTTGGGCGAAGAGAAGGAGCCATTGAGTTGAGATGAGATGTATGTTCACAGACAAGACTTCCAGGGATAAAAAAAAATAAAAGCTTTGAGTTGAGATGTATGTTCAAAATGAAGACCTGTGGATTTGTTCTCTGTTGTATTCATTTAGTTGCACGTGTGCCATCTCACCTAAAGTGAAGTACAGTGGCGGGGAGTTATGAAGGCTCTGCCAACCACAAACGCTTAACATGGAAGAGGAAACGCTTGTAGGGTTGTAGAAAATTGAGATTGGACTCATTGGACAAATGTGGATATATATATTTATTATAGCAAATTGTGGAGATCGAAGAAAAAGCTGTGCCAACTTGCCAAGCGACTTTACAAGTATGATTTTGTTTGAATTGTTTAGCACGCCTAATGGTTTTGGGATATTGCATTATGACCAGATTGAGGCTAGTACTATACCATTGCCAAACAAGGCATAAACTTCTCAGAAAAGCAGAGGCATGACATGATGCAGAAAAACACCACCCATCAGCTCTTTGTGAAGTCCAAATACAGCTGTACAACATTGGCAAAAAAATGGTAGAGGAAAATGCCAATTTTAAAAAGATGTTTTCAGGTGCTTAACAAAGCATTATAGCCCAACAAAACAAAGAACATGCAAGAAAAGGGTAGAGATGTAATAATCAACATCTAAATATGTGTTCAGAAAAATATAAGGTAAAGAACAAGAGGCCCAAAAACAAAGATATTTTGGCCTGTTATTTATAAGAATTGTTCATGGTAAATACAACAGATGCTTTACTTCTCTTCCAATGCAACAGAAGCATCAAAGCTGAGCATGGAGATGTGTTGGACCTCAAATTTAAAATTGAGGTTGTTTCAACTCAAAAAGTGAGTAATTGTATGAGCTTAGAGTGAAGCCAAATTGCTTGAATTCATCATGTTGAGAAAAATAAATCATTAAAAACAGTAAGAAGTTAAAGTAAAATTAGTCTATCTCAAATTATCAACTTCAACACATCCAGACAAACTTATAAGTAGTTACCAGTCACAAGTTCACAACAAAAGATGAAAGCATGTAACTTGTTAAAGAGAGGTCTTGCACATGAGCTGAAAATAATAACATAGAGTCATAATCTTCCATGCACTACTGTGGATGGGATCAGTCAAACTTGATCTTTATCTCGGAATATTCGAACTCTGAGTTTAATTTTAGGAGCCTTTTCTATCAACTCAAACACACAAGCATCCCCTTCTTCCAGTTGATTGTCCCTCACAAATGCTTGCCAGCCATGATGATGTAATCTTGCACTTAACCGACCACCGTATACATCGATCAAGCACCTCACAGACCAAGTTTTCTTATCTGAAATCTGTAGGGTCACATTGCATTCGCCATCTGAAGGGATATGTTTCATGACAAAGGATGACGGGATTCTCTGCAAACATCAGAGGAGATAAACATAGCCAAAAGGGAGTTATTAGTTACATATATGCTGAGAGATTATTCAAAATGTGTTGATCTTTGAAGGAGTCCATTGTGCCAAATTCGTGTCTCTCATCAGACAAATGGAGTTGTTGGGGACCAAAAAAAAAAAAAACAAAAAAAAACAAAGCTTACCAAGTGATTTAGAACATATGATGGTTGCATTCTGATCACAGTAAATGGATTGTCGTATTTGAAACTGCTAGCTTTGGCAAAGGGTCTACCTTTCAAACTTTCAAGTTTAGCAGTTCTCAAATCAACCTCCGATGATTTGTGTGAAGCAGTCTTTCCTCCATCACCACCTGTTTAATTATTCCAAAGACTCAATTTCATCATGACAAGTCCCAAAAGAAAAAGAAACATTCCAAAAGCATTATTCTTTATGAGCACTGACACAAACAGAACCAAATTTCCATATATACCAACCAAATTCTTTAAGGAAACTAGGTGAACCTACCATGTGTCCTCTTTTCTCCTTCAGTTTGATCACCACTTGCGTTAGAATTGCCTTCGGTATCGTCACTTGAACTGTTATACTCCATCTCTAAAGTATTCTTTCTAAAAATGCGAAGCTGGAAATGGGAACATTTCCCTGCATAGCTGAACACCAAGAAGCATCCATCTTCTAGGGAGTAAGACTTTGCGAATTGTGGCCAGCCCCTTCCTAACCAAATCTCCCGATCACGCCTAGTCAATTCAATGGGCCAAATTGATCCATCTGGAACGTTAAAGTACGCTGTGTCTGCCATATAATCTCCATACGTATGCACAGCAATAATTGGAATTTCCTGTAATTAATAGTGCCCTCAAATTTAAGCTGTGCATGCATGTTTATTGGGTACTAGCATATAAAAACACAAGACATATGACATGAACAAATAAAACCATGAAAATATCAATGGACGTTATTCAGCAGCTGGTTTGAGTTAATTTCAAATGGAGAACAAGATGGATATAAGGAGACGTATGCATGAAGAAATCATTATATGAAGCAACTTGAAAATAAAAGATGAGAAATATCAACACAAGGTTTCAACTTTAAACTGACAGACTAAAGCTAAACTGAGAAAATGAAGCAAAGTTATCAACTTACGAGCTTCCCATCTTGAAGTGTCCTTCCCAAGACAATCTTAAAGAAGCTTGGAGCATTCATCAGAGAGGCAGGGGACTTGGGCGAGTTTGAATAATCCATCTCACCATTTAAGTTGTCTTCTTCTTTAACACTTGAACCGAAATAATCTATCTCTAAAGGAGACCTCATGAAAATCCTTACTTGGAAATGAGAGTGATTCCCTTCATAGCTGAAGAGCAATACGTAGCCAAAGGCTAGTGAGTAAAAATCTGCGAAGTTTGACCAGCCCTGTTGTAACCAAACCTGGCCATTACGCTTTGTCAGCTCTGTGGGCCATACCGCGTTATTTGGAACCTTGAGAAAGACAGTGTCTCCTAGACAATCTCCATACTTTGTCACAACACTCTCTGGAAATTTCTGTAAATGAATAACTTCCTCTGAGTAAGATATCCATAGCTATAGGGTTTGGCTTTAGCATATAACAATAAGGTACCTAGTGATATGAATAAATAAAAGAAGGAAAGTATTCAACTTACAAGAACATCCTTTGACAAGACTATCTTGAAGAAGCTCCGAGAGTCCACAGGAAAGGCAAGGCCTTTGCCATGTCGACTAGATGAACCCATTGGGGCTGAGAGAGAGTTGAGAGCTAGCGTAGGTGTTGTGCTGCAAAAAGAGAGAGTTGAGAGAAACAGGCTTTGCTTGCAGCAATAGGAGGAAGTAATTGTTCAAATGCTATATTTGAACAAACCATTTCACCATTGTATCTTTTTTATATGATCTCAACCGTTTATTATTTCATATTTTTCTTCGGTGTTTTAGTTTTGTTGAGACATTTTATCTTATATTTATTTGGTCACTTGAATGTTTCTGTGTGATTCACAGGTCTTTGGGAAGTCATGAATACACAAAGCTGTAGCCATATGAAGACTACGTACAGCATGCTTTACAAGCCTAAATTTTCACCATTATATGTCAGTATGCAAGACAAACCAGAGACTTTGCTTAAATGCTCTTTGCCTCTTTCTGTTTTGAGTTACAATGCTTTTTCTGTCTTCGTATTTTTGGGTGACCATTCTTATATAAAAAGTAGAGTTGTTGGGTCAAAGTTTTATATATATGTTGAGCTTTAGTAAATGCAGCCTATTATCAGAATTGCAGGATAGTATTAATAAATGCAGCAGAGGTTTTATTATCTGCCAATACGAGCTTGGAGATGTAAGATGCGATTTTTCATTATAGGTAGAGATTTAAATCTTTGTGTATCATCCAAACAGATTTTTTGGGGAGTCAGAATTCAAGATTGGCAGATTCAATCAAACCCACAAACTGATCATGAGATGCTTTACAAATTACAAAGCAGAAAGTTTTCACCAAAATGTTGCTAAGCTAGCCAGAGATCCTAATATATGCCAGCATGCTTTGCCTTTTTGAGTTTGTTTCTGTTTAGGAGGTGGGTTGGCACTTGTCAAATATGAGATTTTTGTTTGGGCTTCGGCCTTCCATAATACCAAAAGAAGAAAAAAAAAAGTCATTTAAACTATGATGGGCAGTATATAGGGGAAGGTGTGGAAGGTAGGAGGGAAGAAAGAAAAAGAAACTATTTTTTCCTAAAATCCTTTTTCTAAAGTTTGATAAGAGTAACCAAGAACATAGCATCACATGTCGTAAGAGAGGTTTCACATAAGCTGCTGCTGGGAACATAATCAACACAAAACCTACACTAACATTACACATTACGTGTTGTTTAATGCATTGCATCTTTAGCTCGGTATATATGCCAACCTTAGATGTAACTTCACGGCCCTTTTCTATCAGCTCAAACACACATGCATGATGCATCCCCTAATCTCAGACGATTCTCTCGCACAAATGCTCTCCATCCACCACAGATTCTTGCTTGTGTCCCGACATGGCACTTAACAGGCCAAATTCTCCCTTCCGAAACCTGTAGGTTTATATTGCGAACGCCTTTTGCACAGAAATGTTGCTTGCAAAAGGATGCAGACAGTTTCTGCAAAAATTCTCCCATCCGAAATCTGTTTCCCATGATGCATCTAAGAAAAGAAAAATAGAGAGTCTGAGGAATTTGCTTTTGTTGGTTGATTGAGCAAAATTGTGCTTGTAATGCTGCTCCATGGGTTGTTATCTCCATCAGAATTGGAAGAGCAAGCAAACGGGTTGTCGCCGATTCCATCATAGAAAATTCCACCGAACTCATCATCACTACCAACCTGTGGCTGGTTCTTTGTTTCTTCTCCGTCAGTACTCTCATCCTCCGAGAAGTTTGAGTTCTTCTGAACCAACTCTCTGAATATTGATGATTGAAGGACGAGGCCAAGTGCGGTGGGAGACGACGATGACTTGCTACCGGTGTTAAGAGGGATGTTGCTACAGATGACTTCTTGTTTTCGGAGGGGAGTTCAAGTAATCAGAGGCAAAAGGACCTGTGTGTGAGAAAGACTCCTCTGTTGGGATGCAGCTGTTGGCCATGAATGGCATATTCTGAGGCTCTGCGACTGCCTCTGATTCTTCAGTGGCTATTGGATCGTCTGCTCTTGGCTTTAGCCATCTTATATAAGAACTCAAGTCGAAGTTGGTCACAGCATTGATCCCTCTCTATTCAATTGCTGCAATGTCATAGGCACGAGCTGCTTCCTCTTGGGTGCCTGAAATGAGATTAAAAAGACACATTACTCAGTAAGTGCAAATTTTCTTCATCATAGTTTTCAACTCTCTTTTATGACAATTTATATTGCAGCCAGTTTTTGGATATGTTACATAATGTTATAATCAGTTATAGAGATAGGAGATCAGAGATAACTTACTGTAAGTGCCAAGGTAGAGATACTTGTTTCCAAAAACTCTTCCTATTCTTGAGGCTATTAAATTAAAATACCGCGTATGGCCGCTCGGCTATACTATTTACAAAATTTTGCAACAAGCCCCTTGTGACAAAATTATTATGAATTTTTTTTTTAAAAAGAGTCCAGTAAAGCCGTCCGGCTTTTTTTGTAACGGCTATACTCGTTTAGCGAAGGTTTGAATAGTATAGCCGCGCGGCTATACTCCGGATTATTTTTTTTTATTTTTTATTTTTTATTTTTTTCTGTTGTTGTTTAATGCATCAGCCTGCATCTTTAGCTCGATATACATGCCAACCTTAGATGTAACTTCACGGCCCTTTTCTATCAGCTCAAATACACATGCATCCCCTAATCTCAGACGATTCTCTCGCACAAATGCTCTCCATCCACCACAGATTCTTGCTTGTGTCCCGATTTGGCACTTAGCAGGCCAAATTCTCCCATGGAAACCTGTAGGATCACTCACTAATTATATTGCGAACGCCTTTTGCACAGAAATGTTGCTTGCAAAAGGATACAGATAGTTTCTGCAAAAATCACCGCCAAAAAAAGGGGTTATTAATGAATCAAGACAGGGGTTATTATTACTTATGCTGAGAGATTGGTTTAATACTATTGCTCCCTAAAGGATCACTCACTAATTTATACTCCATACAAACTGGGATAGTGTGATCTTCTTTTTTTATAATTATTTTTTACCGATTTTTTATTTATCGATAAGAGTAGTTTAGAGCATTATTCATTACTATTAGGCCACTACCCGAGTCTCTATTGTCCCCTTTTGAGTTTTTACTTGTCTAGAGTTATTACCCGTATGGCTATACTTTTGAAATACATACTCTTTTCACAAAACCACGCGCTAAGCGTTGGGCGGGTCGTTTTTTATTTTATTTTTTAGATATATAAATAGTACAGTCGCACGGCTATACGCCGGTTTTTTTTTTAAAATAAAAACCATTATAACCGCCCGCTATGCACTTTTCACCACAAAAAAAAAAAAAAAAACATGCAGCTATACTCTCTTCACAAAAACACAAGCTAAACGCTAAGCGTTGGGTGTGTAACACTCCGGATATTTTATTATAAATTTCACAAAAGCACACGCTAGCAGGGCAGGTCCTTTTTTTTAATACAAATTTATAAATAAACCCAATCCTAGACATGTATTTATAAAAAAACCTAAGCATTATTTAAACATAGAAACACACCCAAAATCATCCTCAAAGTCAACTTTTTGGGTGTGTTTATAAATGAGTTTTGAGTGTATGTAATGATAGGTTTTGGGTGTGTTTATATGTTTAAATAGTGCTTGGGTTTTTTTATAATTTCAACCCCCATTTTTGGTGTTTTAGTGAAACTCCCTTTTTTTAATTATAAATTGTATACCCGCGCGGCTAGACGCCAGATTTTTTATTATAAAAAGTGTATAGCCGTGCGGCTTTACTGGGGCCCTTCATATCTGATTGCTAATGACTCGATTACCCATCAATGGTCAATTTATCAACTCGATCAACTCGATTACTCATCAATGGTCAATTTATCCAATTTACCAGGATTGTTCATATGCTTTTAATTTTGAAAAAAACAAAACAAAAAAAAAACACTTGGGCTTAATTTATTTATACCAATTTCAGTGAAATCTCCAATATTGATAAAAACATGCATGTTTTAAGCTGGACATAAATCTAGACCCCATGGCCGGCTGCACCACAGATGCTAGACAGTACAAATACATGTGCTTGTAGAATGAATGACAAACCGAAATTTAGATATAATAAACAAAATAAAGTCGCATTTTGCTAACCAAAATGTTAAACACTCAATCACCAGAAACTAAGTGATCTTTTTCTGGACAGTGATGAGCCCCTAAAAATAAAAAAACCATTAGAGAAAGGAGTCACTTGTTCAAAAGGAAATCATTTTAGAATTTTGGCTCAGGTTCCACAAAACTCAGGACCAGCTCTGGCTTTACGACTTGAACTTGTTCTCTTTTTCTTTTGAGCTAGTGGTGCTGGAGAACTCTCCTCTGCATTTGGGCAAGGTGGAAAATCATCCAAGATTTCAACTGAATCATCATCTTCATGATCACTTTTAGTCGATGGATGCATCTTCCAGGTGTTTGTTTTTGGAATCTTCTCGTGCTAGACGTGCCTCCACCACCTTTTTTCGCAAGAAAACCATCTTTACCTGTAAAAAGATTACCATAAGATATTAGAAGCAAGAACAGAATGGCAGAAAAGAATACTTCGTATTCGATTGACTTCTCAAATATCATTTCAAAAGGTTGAGAGTTTCTTGGTCTCATAAAAAATGGAACCACATTGTGCAGGTTGATGTTGGTGATCTTTGTTAGTTTGATAGGGCAGATAATCTCATGAGCAAATTCGGTATGGAAAGAAAGCAGAAATTAAAAAAACCACTAAAGGACTGATACATCTTGCAATTAGAGGAAGAAGTCTGGCTTATCCAATTGGTTAACTGACTTGCATACACAAAAAAGAAACAACATTAAGTCTGAAAGAACAATTGCTAAGGACCTTTCACCAGATTTTCAAGATCTTTTCACAACCCTTGTTTTTCTTGGGGGTGGAAACTTGTCCAAGATTTCAACAGAATCGTCACTGGAATCATCACCAAAATCATCACTTGAATCGTCAATCGAATCACCGTCTTCATTATCAGTTTCTTCCATCGTAGGTACTGTTTGTTCCCCATCATTGGTACACTTTGAACCTTCTCCAGAGCGGAAAATGATCAAA